ACAGAGATCAGGAATAGAATTGCTGTACTCGGGAAAAACTAAGACACCATAGCTGAAACAATATATAATAATATCATACAGACACATCAGGAAGCAGCAGAGATGTATATTCCACTCAAAAACCAAGAAAGAAGAAAACAATTATATGGGAAAATAACAAAATCATGGGGAAAAGAGAAGCCCTACGACAACGACAAGCATATACAAATAGTAATGCTACATCAACCAACAACAAGCGAGTCATGGAAAAAGCAATGGCAGATCTCGACAACGCATACACAAGCGAACAAGAAAAGTATATTGGAGAAAAAATAAGTGAGTTGGAAAATACAAACACGGGCAAAGCTAAACTAGCTTGGAACATCATCATTGAAAGTACTGATAGGAAACAAACGAATATAAACAAGATCAAAGCAAATAACCCAAAAGATCGAACCGAGCTGTGTATAGACTCCTGTGTTGGAGACTCCTTCCCTACAGCATTGCAAACATCTAATCTTCATCAACTTATGTTCAGTGCATTTTTTGCAATGAAATACCTGTACCAAACAATCAAACACTTTTTGCTACGAATCATCATGAAAAATGTCAATTTTATCGAAATTTCTACATTTCAGGCCATTTTGTGTAAAACATCAAAAACATGGGCGAAATTTCAACGTTTTCCATGCAGTTCAATAAAATTCAAGTGTCTTCTGATATGAAAAATACAAAACAATTACTTTTACTGCACTTTTTAAAAAATTGGTGAAATTCAACTTTTGCTTGGAATGGCCCATTAATCAGAAATTTTGCGTTTTGACTGAGAAATATACTTTTATTATATATAATCAGTATCACAAATTAAAAAGACTGAGTGATACATTCAGTGATATAAGTGGAGGTAATACTTATGGATTTGGAATAAATGATAATATAGTATAGACCAGACATGGGCAAAGTACGGCACGTGAGCCAAATCCGGACCGTTAGGTAATTTAATCTGGCCCGCCTGATGCCGCGACAACCAAACTTGAATCAAATTTTAATGTTTTAGCTAAAATAGCTCAAGGAATTTGTTGAGATTGCGGTTAAATTTAGTTCTGGCACGAGGCATATTGTTTTTCACATTTGCCTTGTAACACTGTAAATATTGTTCATAAAATGTAACTTTTTACGTCTCACTTACATGGCCCGCCAGACTAGGGGGGCAAATTTTTTGACCCTCGGTTCAAACACCTTGCCCACCCCTAGTATAGACTGTATATTCAAAGTATTCCACGTAGAATTGATTTTCCAACATATTATAAAATATAGTGCCTCAAATAACAGCATGGACTGAGAGAGAATGGAGAGAGTTTATTTCATTTGTTACAACAAGAAAACATAGTTCAAGCATACATAAATAAAGAATAAACAAATGGTATATGATTATTGGTATATGACTGGGAAACGATACGGCCTTTTGGGGTCATCGGGGTCGATGGAATGGGCGGCGGAATTACGATAAGTTAATTATAATTTAATAATAAAATACTTTATCCTCAAGGTCACTTTTCATTGCAGCCATCAACCTTTAATACTGCAAAATATTTTAAGTCTCAATTTCAGGAATAATATAAGCTTTTTAAAATAATTTTCCAATTATTTAGCATGAAAAATATAGGAATAAAATTAACGACAAGATTTATTTCATTCAAAATAGCAAAAACATAGTTTCCATAAACTATTATATGTCTCCGGAAGAGTTAGTGAAGATTTCAAACACAGCAGAAAATAAAAAGTCAGTTACCACAGTGACTAAAGCTAGCACTGTAGACTTTCGTGGCAATGTAACTAACGGATCCCCTATTGACGTCATTTGTAGGTTCACGGTATATTCTAGCACGTTTTTGCTTTTCTCGGTTAGTTCGGATGATACAATCTCATTAACATGATGATCATCTTTGGCAGCATCATCTTGAACATCCAGAAAATTTAGATTTTTCTAAATCGGTCCTGGTGCATTTGAGATATCTTCCGACTGAACTCGCTTTTTTCCTATCTCCGAGAAAGCAGAATTCCACTTGGCACGTTGACGGAGCATTCTCCGACAATGGAAACGTCAGCTACCTTGAGTCGTTTGGCAGAAGGTGAAGCGTTTATTAAGTTTTCATGGAGTTTTATAGACGAAACACTATCTTCACTTGTTATTGTTCCAGGATTTACACTTGACACAGGATTGTGTTGGTTTTCATTTTTATCTGTCACGTCGGTGGTCTGAGGTAGTTGGTACGTTGGTGTGTCTGAGGCAGCTGGTTAACTGCTTTCCGACGATGTGAGAAGTTTATCTGTTTGATGATTTTTCGCTGTTTGTCTAATTTGACGATCGAATTTTTGATTTCTGACACGTTTGATTAGTGGAAACAAAAATAAACCTTGGTTATAAAGTGCTAGAAACATCTGAATTGGAAACAGCGTATATTTGTAAGACTATTTTCGTCGGTATACTTTCTCTGCCATCAGACACCGTTTTTATTGTCTCAGCAAACGCATATATGCGTTCTGCAATATTATTAAAACAAGATAAATATAAATTCGTTTTCTGAGTCATTTTGGTACAAGTCTGTTTATATTCAGCTGAGAATATGACACATATTGTCCGGTCAATAATATCAGATAGACAGTAAAGTTATTCGAAACGTACAAAACCGCGAATAATTATGTAATGTAATAGCATGTAGCATCAGTTGACTTCATAAAAACAGTCAAAAGCAGAGTTTCTATAGGGCACAATCTAATAGTAGTTTGAATATCGATAGAAAACCACATGACGCACTGAACTGCCTTTTTTTATTTGGTAATTCACATGCTAATATTTGATGACTTATTTCATAGGGTGTCACTGCAACAAATTTTGATGTCGTGTCACAAAACATGAAGACGAATACAACTTGGAAAATGTTGAAAGTTGTTATATATATATATGTCCTTATTGCAACGTATTACTCGAAAGTTAACTTTAACGATGTATGATTGGTAATACACTACCGTTTGCCATAGATTATAAGTTGATCTTTATAGACAACCTATAGCGTCTGTAAAAATGTAACAATTATTTGATTTGATCCAGATAAATGGGAAGTCTTTTTCAAAGTAGTGTAATTTTGAAATGACAGTTTACCATAGTCCAAGTTGTCTGATGTTCATGGTATTGTTCATTTCAACCGAATGGCCAAACCGAATACCTAACTATTCATACTTTGCTCTGAAAATATATTATTAAATATAGAATATTTTATAAGCTGAAAACAACCTTATTTGAAAATTACAGTATTCAGTATATCTTTGCTTCAATTAAATTTGAATTAGCACAAAAGAAGGGTTGAAATCAAATCACCGGGCGGAAGAAATGTTCGAGTGGAATTGGGGAAAATTTGTTTACTTTCCAGGTATCGGTGGAAATCTCTATGTCAAGCCACTGTAAATATGCTTCAGCTAGTTCATGGACAATCGTAACCGGCCTAGTGCGGGTCTCGTGCTTGGAAAAATTTGGTTGTTTGGGATAGTGTTTCCTAACCTATGGGTCGCCTAAAATACTTCTCGGGTCGCTTGCTTTTTCATCAAAAACTCAAAGGTAGTGATCTTTTTTAGTAAATTTTATTGTTCATTTTATATTTTGTATGGAAGTGTTGCTCAATTGCATACGTGGGAAACGTAAGAACCAGCAGGCAGCATCTATTTTGCCACCCGCTATTTCAAAAACTCGCTGATGCCAAAAAAGTGCAGCTTTATTACCTTGAAGTGATTTTTTGTCGCTTGAAATAGTCAAACGGGATCTTCAGATGATTCTAAAAAACAAGAGTTGAAGCGTACTTTAATTTTGTATGCATATATATATATCATTCTTCTGAGTCTGATAAGCAAATAGCAGCACTACGATGCTGTTGAACAGATTCTAGACTCGCCATGTTCTATATATATATATATATCTAGAATTTCGAGCAAGTTTTGTCAATGCAGGAATTCCTTCAAGCAGTAACTTGGACCTGTATTCAACTTGACTATATTTATCGGTGATTCTAATTAACGCGCTAACATTAATAATATTCCATGAACATCTTAAAATAGCTGATTTCCGGTGGGAATTTTTACAAACATAGATCCTCTATGCCAGGGATTTCCTTACTGTATACCCCCACGGATCTCCTGTGGATGTCAGAGTTCTTCACGAACCTCCGAGTTTTCAATAAAGGATCCGAGCCCAAATTATACAAAAAAACGTATAGGCTACCAGTGTTTCATAAGAGCATAGTGTAATATTGCAATGGATATATATAAAAGATGAGCAAACAAACACTCGGAAATCACGGACACCTCAAAAACACGCATTTCATCGATCATCTATCAGTATCACTGATAGGCTAACAATCACACACGGTAAGATGGATGCTCTTGTTTATTATCCACAAGGCGTTTGATCTTCGAAGTTGTTATGGAAATGGCCACCCCTTATATCAGAGCCGTCGTCAAAATTTGCCCGCAGCATGATGGCAACGCGGAACAGGAAAGCGATTTTTTTCTCAACAACGAGAAGAAAATGCAAAAAGACAACGTTTGCATATAACGCAGAAACTGAATGCTCTTGACGTTTCCTTGCGGACCCCAGTTTGAAAACCACTGCTCTAATACATTTCTGTAAGATTATGCATGGTTTTCCTGAGCTTTATATAAAAATAGACTTGCTTGTTTCCACCATCCCGGGATTTACTAAGTTTACATGGATTAAGTCAGTTCTGCAGCTCTGTCTGTCCGACTTAGTAATTTGAAACCTGGGAAATTTTAAAAATACTCCGACACGAGTTCTATATGATAAACAATTTTAGATCGGAAAAACTTTGGCTTTGGTTAGCCCTCTTTAATTGTTCATTGAGAACGCTTTTATATTTATAAGTCTGAATCCCAAGATTGTTAAATAATGAAAATATTGAACGTTCGTACACTGCACACATTGATTCGAAATATTCACCCAACTTAAGCAGCGCCAGTTATATAATAACGAGTGTTTGTCCTTTATTGTGTGATAATAAGTGTTTGTACTGCCGACGCATCTGAAGCGTCGACTGATTACGATATGCCTCGCTGATTTCGTTTTCCTCGTATTATTTCTCTCGCGCAATAGCGCGTGTTATCGTGGATAATAAATTCATTCCTGTTTTGGATTTCATACAAGACGTTGCTTGTTTTTCTGTGTAAGGTCTTTGGCATTGTAAGATAACTACGACCAATTACTGGCGTGGTGGCAGCGAAGACGAATTCTACGCTGTATATCTCCTATACTGAGGTTAACAATGGCAGCTGTTAAAGCACCAAAGCAGTGGCCTCTGAAGAAATGTGAGACAATCACTTCCTTCGAAACATGGAGACAAAATCTGCTATACACTTTAGCCCTGGATAATAACTTTACGCCTTTTCTTGCCCCTGACGTCCAATGGGAGAAACAAACCAAAGCTAACCCACTGAGAGGTCTGACCGATGATGGAGAGGCAGTAGCTGAAGACCGCAGAAAGTCGGCAATTCAAAAAAACGCCACTTTAGAGTTGATGCTCGGACAAATAGCAAATTATTGTCCGATTATGTCTCGCAACACCATCGTCAAGAATTCCACATCTTTGAACTGTATTTGGCAAGCGCTCCGCATGCATTTTGGGTTCCATACTACCGGCGCCCATCTCCTGGAGTTAGCCAATATCAAACTTGAAGATGGGGAAAGAGCAGAAGACCTTTACCAACGCCTAGTGTCTTTTTTTGAAGACAACCTCGCTACCACAATTAGCTCAATTACTCATCACGGCTCTGTGCCAACGGAAGACGAAGACTTAACTCCTACCTTGGAAAATACAATCGTTTATTTCTGGTTGTCTTTGTTGCACCAGAATTTACCAATGCTCGTTAAGCAACGTTATGGAACTGAGCTGCGTTCTCGCACACTAGCTTCTATCAAACCTGAAATTTCAGGAGCGCTCGAGTCGCTATTAGACGAGCTGGCCTCCATGGAATATGCCAAAGTGTGTAGATCTCTTCACTCTCAAAAGTTGAATTCAAAGAAGGATAGTTCCAGCCGCCGCAACATTAACATACGTCAATCATGCCCTCTGTGCAAGGAAGGGGATCGACCATTCAAGCATTACCTGAGCCGCTGCCCTTTCCTTCCTGACAACGATAAGCAATTCATGGCTAAAGCACGTATGATCAGTACGGATCACGATGACATGGATCCTTTGGTGGACATAAGTTCAGCATCTTCTGACTGTCCTGAGGTAAATTCTAACTCTAATCATTATATTTACCGCTCACGACGTGTTAACATATGCCATTGCCCTCACCTGGTCTTGTACTGTAAAGGAAAACCCATCCGTGTCGTGCTTGACACTGGTGCTGAGTGTAATATGATATCTCTATCCCTTGCTAGTCTTTTGGGCGCCAAAATATCAAAGTGCTCTCAAAAAGCTCTACAGGCTGACGGATCATCATTTTTAAATGTACTTGGCGAAACAGCTATTACCTTATCACTTGATGCTGTTTCTATGCCTTTTAAAGCACTGGTAGTTCAGCATTTAGATTCCGACATTTTGGCTGGCACCCCATTTATGGTCGAGAACGATATCATTTTGCGACCTGCAAAGCATACCATCAGTATTCGCAACCTTCCTCCACTGCCATATGATGATAAACGTCTCAATAGTGAGGCTAGTCACCCGCCTCATATTATTAGACACTTCAGCAAGTCACGCGTCCTTTGGCCTGGCGAAACTATGACAGTTCCCTTACCAAATCATTTGCTTGATGTTGACGAGGTGGCTGTCGAGCCTCGCATCGATTGTCAGTCCGTTACCACTGAAAAATGGTTAACGCCTTGCATTGCTCCCCGCCATAACGATTACATCCTTATTCAAAATTCATCATGCGAACCTGCACGTATTGACAAGCATCAACAATTCGCCCAACTTTTACCTGTTATATCTCAACAATCCATTACCCAGTCTACCAACCATAATTCCTTCGTTCGACCATCCCCTCCGTTTGCAACCAACATAAAAGTCGATCCTGAACATATCCTGCCCTCAGACGTTGTCGCAAAATTTCAACACTTACACCAAAAGTTTGATAGCGTGTTTAACCCGAGCCCTCCCGGTTACAATGGAGCTGTTGGTCCCTTCAAAGCTGTGGTTAATATGGGACCTACCCAGCCCCCTCAACGGAAAGGTAGAATACCTCAATATTCGCGTGATAAATTAGTTGAGTTACAGCAAAAGTTTGATGAACTTGAGGCATTGGGTGTTTTCCAAAAACCAGAATGCGTTGGGGTCACTGTAGAATATTTAAACCCCTCCTTCTTAGTCAAGAAGCCTCGGGGGGTTATCGTCTAGTCACTGCATTCGCAGACGTTGGGAGATACTCAAAACCACAACCTTCCCTTTTACCTGATGTTGACTCTACTCTGCGCAAAATTGCATGTTGGAAATACATAGTCGTGTCGGATCTCACAAGTGCCTTCTATCAAATCCCACTTGAAAAGAAGTCTATGAAATATTGTGGTGTGGTAACACCATTTCGTGGTACCCGGGTATATACCAGATCTGCTATGGGAATGCCTGGATCTGAAACTGCATTGGAAGAGCTTATGTGCCGGGTTTTAGGTGACCTATTACAGGCTGGTATCGTAACTAAAATAGCAGACGATTTATACTGTGGGTGAAATACTCCTGAGGAATTGCTCTGTAACTGGAGTAGTGTGCTTTCTGCCTTATCAAAATGTGGTTTATGTTTATCTGCTTCCAAAACTATTATAGCCCCCAAGTCAACCACCATCCTTGGTTGGATATGGTCAGAAGGCATAATTAAAGCATCCCCACATCGTATTGCCACATTATCCACATGCGACCCACCTAAAACTGTAGCAGCTATGCGGTCCTTTTTAGGAGCTTACCGTGTTCTTGCTAGAGTCATACCCAAATGTGCAAATTTTTTGTGTGACCTACAAAAAGTCACTGATAACCGTGCTTCCCAAGAAAGTATTTTGTGGAATGATGAGCTACGTCAAAGTTTTCACTCTGCTCAATCTCATTTATCTAGCAACAAGTCTATAACATTACCAAGACCCAGTGATTTATTGTGGCTAGTTACTGATGGTTCAGTTTCACATCCGGGTTTAGGAGCCACACTGTATATTACACGTGAGGGCGAGACACACCTTGCTGGTTTTTTTAGCGCTAAACTTAAGTCTCGCTTCACTTCCTGGATTCCATGCGAAATCGAGGCCCTCAGTATTGCATCTGCTATCAAGCACTTTGCTCCCTATATCATCCAATCTGCAAATACTACACGGGTTCTAACAGACAGTAAGCCTTGCGTTCAGGCCTTTCAAAAGCTATGCCGAGGAGAGTTTTCAGCTAGCCCAAGACTCTCAACATTTTTATCAGTCACAAGTCAATATCAAGTCACCCTGGAGCACTTAGCGGGTTCTAAAAATCTCCCCTCAGATTTTGCTAGTCGTAATGCACCGGAGTGTTGTACTAATAACTGTCAAATTTGTGCTTTTATTGATGATATCAAGCAACAACCTGTCATGCGTGAGGTTTCTGTTCGCGACATTTTATCAGGCCACACTAAAATGCCGTTTACTTCTAGGTCTGCCTGGCTTACGATTCAAAAAGAATGTGCGGATCTTCGGCGGGTCCACGCTCACCTACAACAAGGCACCAGACCATCAAAAAAATTGACTAAGATCATTGACGTGAAACGTTACCTCATGCATGCCACTATTGCTAGTGATGGATTACTTGTTTATCATACATCTCGCCCTTTTTCCTCTCGCCAAGATCGTATTATTATTCCACGTCATTTCGTTGATGCTATTTTAACTGCTTTACATATTCAATTAGAGCACCCCTCCGCTCACCAATTGGCATCTGTATTTAATCGTTATTTTTTTGCTCTTGATTCTGATGCTATGATTAGACATGTTTCTAATGCCTGCCATCAATGTGCCTCCCTAAAAAAGTTTGTGTCCCGCCCCATACCACAAACTACCTGTGATAACTTACCATCCGTCGGATCAATGTTTGCTGCAGACGTTATTAAACAAAGAAAACAATTGATATTAGTCATACGAGAATGTGTTACCTCTTTCACACGAGCCTGCTTAATTGAAAATGAAAGAGAAGAGACTTTACGTAATGGTCTTGTGTGTTTAACTTTGGATATGACCCCTCTTGATGGTCCACCAGCATTAATACGCACAGACTCTGCTCCTGCCTTTGCTTCAATGGCAAAAAATACCAGACTAGCCAAGCATCGACTTACACTCGAACTTGGCTATTCGAAGAACATCAATAAAAATCCCATTGCTGAAAAAGCCGTACAAGAAGTGCAGGAAGAATTACTAAGACTTGCACCGGACAATCAGCCTGTTTCTCATGTCACATTATCAGTGGCCCTTGCTAATCTCAATTCCCGACTACGCAAGAGGGGATTATCATCACGGGAAATGTGGACCCAAAGAGACCAATTCACTAATCAACAAATTCCTATGGAAGACAGACACATGATTGAAAAACAATATGCTAGTCGACTCCAGAACCATAAGCCCAGCCAAAAGTCAAAATGCCGTAACCCTATTCCTATATCTCCCATGATTCGTGTAGGTGATCTTGTATATTTATATGCTGACCGCAAAAAAACTAAAGCCCGGGACAGGTACTTGGTTGTGTCTGTCAATGGTGACTGGTGTAATATAAAAAAATTCATTGGTAATCAGCTTCGAGCCAATTCGTACAAAGTTCGAAAGTCTGATTGTTTTTTAGTTTCACCCACATTACCTTCCCCTTCCCAAGTTATACCAGATACCACAATCAATGACGAGAACTCTGAGGATTTCTATCCTCCGCTACTACCAAGCTCATTTGTAGATTTACTCCCCCAATTACCTACTGCGAATGTTCCCCCTCCTGGACCACCAGAATTATTTTTGCAAGATGGCCCAGCACCACAATCTCGCTACCCCCGTCGTGAGCATCGTAAGCCTTCATATTTGAGTGATTACATTTTAGAATAAGCCCGGTTTTGCATTTGTTTTGATTACAATTTCGTTTACTATGGCATTCGGTTTTTAAGTGACCTATACTTTCTCGTCATTCTACTAAGTTTTAGTAATGTTTTTCATAGTATTACCCATTATGGGAGCGAAGGAGGGATGCGCCAGTTATATAATAACGAGTGTTTGTCCTTTATTGTGTGATAATAAGTGTTTGTACTGCCGACGCATCTGAAGCGTCGACTGATTACGATATGCCTCGCTGATTTCGTTTTCCTCGTATTATTTCTCTCGCGCAATAGCGCGTGTTATCGTGGATAATAAATTCATTCCTGTTTTGGATTTCATACAAGACGTTGCTTGTTTTTCTGTGTAAGGTCTTTGGCATTGTAAGATAACTACGACCAATTACTGGCGCAGTGTGAATTATTTGGAGATGATACAAAACCCGTGTTATCGCGTCCTAAAATGTATGCACCACGTCTGGTTAGTAGGCCTACGTTCCTTGCGTTGTTGGACCGTTTGCGAAAACGACTGCTGATTGCATTGAAACTAAATTCGATATATATATATATATATATATAGCTTAAGCAAAATACATGATCTTCTTTTTATTCTTCGGCGCCGGTATGCCACGCTTTTAAGATTACAATAAATTCAAACGGCGGAAATGAATAATTCCGTTTAATGGTACGTATTTAGAAATATATGACGCTAGCCATCAACTTTGACTTGCAGCATTTTATTTTTCGGAACTCCAAGTTGTTAGTACCGATTTGGCAGTCCACTTGTGTCGTGTCCTACTTGTTTAGAATTTGTCTGTTAGATACACGCGATATCTCACGAAAGCGAGGTTGAATCTGCTCCAAATTTTGCATGTGCATTCATCATAGTTCGGAACAGAAGCCTATTGATTTTCGATGAATTATGTCCTATAGCGAGTTATTAATTAATTAATGATGGGACACACGGCGTCACTATGGAGTGAGATAGCTGTTTTGGGGGATCCCCTAACCTCCGATCGATAAGTCTTCTGTCTCCGACCGATATTCTCGTTTTATTACTTGTAGCGTGAGCAGACCAGGTGCTATTGTCGAAGAAAAACCAAGTCCGTCTAAGTTGGGGACTCCGAACCCAGATAAAAAAAAAACTGGATCGCGCGGCGCTAAGTCAGCTGTCAGTCAATGGTTTAGTTTAAGCTAAAATTGTTCCGCAGGCCGCACAAAATGTGTCCGGGGGCCGCATGCGGCCGACAGTTTGGACCACCCTGGTTTAGGTAATACAATGTTGTTGTTTCTGGGCAAGGTAATGATCAACCAAATGATTGGAACTAAATGTGTCAAACGCCACTATTCTTATGAAATTCGCCTCCTGATAATATAACTTACGATTCTCTTTGATCAAGCTCTTAGATTTTACTGTATTTTTACACACCACCACCTTAAAAATTGAGAAAACACCATTGCTGAAAGCAATTTGACGAAAAAATCGTGCAATATTGTGTAAGATTCATATCAAATGTTGTACAACTAGGTTTTGAGAAGCAATCCTAAGAAAATAAAACAAATATGACGACTGGTATTTATGGGAGAAATTTACACAAATTTCAGAATCACCACCAGCAATTAAACTCAAATTAGCTGGAATATCATTGTTTTGACTAGTTATCAATTTTTTTTTGCTGGGAACGAGACCTAAGTTAAACTGATCCTAGTTTGGTCAAAACTAATCCTAGCTGGTTAAAAATGGCAAATTCACAAATGCTTCAAGAATGTAATCCATTATATGGAGTATTGCGCTAACCTAATGAGAAATTCATATTCTCAAACAATTATAGACAAGTTCCGTTCATAGTACATGAAACAAGCAGCTCAGAGAATGCAAAACTCAAACAAGTTTGTTACAAAATCTGAAACACCTTTCTCAATTCAATAACATCTCATGGCTTCACTACAATCAAAATCAATTCAGACTTCTTTTCATGATCAACTGTGCTGAACATATTTTGCTTCATAGCATCATTTACTAATGACCACAAACAGTGCTTTTTAACACCCAGCCTGAATCTTCCCTGACTTTCTTCTCCATCTTTTTTCACCTGGATCAAATCCTCTTTCATCAGCACCAATGACCGCCCAATTTGGGGTCGCGCTCATATAATCTGGAGCAGAAAAGGTGGCACCTGTCGTCTTGTATTCCTGGTACAGCTCATGGAATCGACTGTAATCTATCCAAGTATGCCACTTTCCTTCAACTTTGAACTTCGTATTTGCAATTAGAACACAATTTGAGTGTTCATGTTCACAGGCAAGTTCGTATTCAGGCAGCATATCAGCTAACAAGGAGACAAAATGTAATACTTCTTCATGCCATGGCACATTCTTCATAGTAAGCCCACCAGCAGTAGACGTATCACCACAATAAGTAACTCCCTTCACTTCTATGAAGTCTGGTTTACCATATTGAACCAACTCCGCATAATTCTGTATCTCTTCGTTGTTCCATGCTTTTACAATTGTCAATCTATACACAGTTCTTTGTCCTTTTTCTCCCAATGCCTTCAAGCTATCAATGAATCTTGGCCAGTAATCTTTGAATAACGGTCGATCTATCTTTTTCAGGCTATCAGGAGTGGCTGCGTCAACACTGACGTAAAGCTGTGTGACGGGCTTCAAAGTTTTTATTTCATCAGGGAATTGTGCATTTGTAACCAGAAATGATGAAATTCCTTTCTCATGTAACATTTCAATGAATGTATTAATCTGTGGATACATGATAGGTTCCCCAACCAATGAAAGAGCACAATGTTTTATCGAGAAACCTTCAACAAAACGCTCTGGGCGAACACCTGGCACACCCTTGAACTGTTTTATCATGCTGTAGTGATTTTCAATTGCACCTTTAACAATCATATCTGGTTCATCCATTTTCCATTTCCATTCTGTGCCCACAGGATTTGTGTGATGCCGCCAGCAAAAGACACATTTATTTGCACATGCTAAACTCGGAGTTGTTTCCATGCATCTATGACTCTCGATTCCATAAAATGTATGTTTGTAGCAACCTCCTCGTCCACGAAGCATAGATTTGGTCCAGCGACAAAGTTTGACACCAGAATGTGATCCCACTATTTTATATCCTTGCTTTGTCAGAGCTTGACGTAATGCTGGAGTCACCATTTCCTTAACAGGTCGTTTTTTCTTCCTCAAAGTCACACCATTCTGTGAATGATTTACTTGTGGCATTCGGTCACCTATGTCTTCAACATCCAAGACTGCTTCACTTTCGCTTCCTTCCTTTTCGTCCTCACTGCTACTTTCAACGCAATCTGCTCCACTGTCATCACCATCAATTTTTTCCATCCGTGTACCATTGCCATCATCATTAGATAATTGTGCTGGACTAGTTAACAAATCTACTACAACCGATAATACATCATTTGCCCAGGCGTCAAAATCCAATTCTTGACTGCCATGAGCACTATTAGCCACATTTTCATCACCTTTTCCAAGAGGGAAACATCTTGTTGCACATAGTTTGTGAAGACATTTGTCCAAATGCTTAGCAACTGTGTTATAGTTTTCTTCATACACAGAATTACCAAGTCCAAATACTGCATACGTGAGGCCTTGAAGCAATGATTTCTGAACTCTGAAATCGTTAGCAGCTTCATCAACCCATTTATAAAACCACTTCGCGTCGTCAGGTGGCAAACCACCTGTATATGTTGAAATAAGAAAAATACAAATTGACAACGCTGAAGCATCACTAGAAAGTCTGTCTTCTGGATCATAGTCTGTGATGTCAATGATTTCAAATTTTAAATCCATGCTTTGGGCACGACGGCCTAATTCAAGACAGAATCGTTTTGCTTTACCAGATTGAGTTCCATAAATCAGCTTCAATCTTGGCCCATCTGGCTGAGCCAAATTCTCTGAATACTTGGCTTTTGTTTTCTTTTTCTTTCTTTTTTGTTTGTCACCAATATGAAAATACTGGATAACAAAAGAGCCTATTATCCCAGTTATGACAATGCTAATTAATAGAGCTACAATATCAATACCCATGATGGTATTACCTGGTAAAACACCAAAAATAAAATTATATCACATGTATTTTCACCCAAAAAATAAAATACATTAGATTAAATACTGTTTTGTTTGTACGTAGAGGATATTATAGAGCATTTTATCAGTTTCGGTGGTATTTAAATCACCTTCACCCTCATAGAATAGCTATTTACGGTATATAAAATATCTTCTAATTACAAACAAACAGAATTCTGTATATATTTCTGAATAATAAAATTGCACTGCAATGAAAAATAAAAATTCCATTTTCTGGAATCCCAAGAGATGCTGACGAACAAACTTGAAAACATATTCAAATTATGTGAGAAAAAATGACATAATAATATCCTATTGAGGAGTGGCATAATTTTGTTCAATTCGAGTATTGCAATCACCAGTTCTGAGATGTGGTATTAATTAAATATTTCAAACAACAAATCTCTGCATGAATCTATATGCAAGTAATAAAATAGGTGCTATATGACAAAAATTGCCATGGGCAACTATTATCTGTTCATAAAAATTCTAGTATGCAAGATCAACATGTGGAACACGAAGGATCACCATTTTTATGTAACAAACTAGATTCAGTGGACATCTGGACATATATATAAATCCTCTGTACTGTAGTCCTATTAACATTTATAATAACAAATATAAGATGCCAAAAATATTCAAAATTATGATTCACCATTCCAGAAAAACTGTTATTAACACTTTTTAGTTTGTTATTGTTCTGTAGGTTTCCTTTTAGTATTGACCACTAATTCTCTTAATTTTGACAATTCAATTTCAATATCAGATTGGCTCACTGAACCATCCAAGCTCTGTATCACTATCGCTTGAAAGTCTGTAAGATTTTCATAAGCTGCTTGAGTTATGTGGCTCCTCAAAAACAATATGATATGTGGGACACATTTCCCAGGGATATGGAGCATTTTTCCAGTCAAACTTTGGAAGATTATGGCAACAGCAAGATGAAGAGATGTAGCAGGGTCTTTGTCCTGTTCAAGCTGTTGCATAAGAGACATTTTATATCCATGCAATATCTGCCGTTCTCTTTTTTTATCTAATTTCTTTAGCAAAACATCACAAACATCATTAGAACAGGCTTTTATTAGAGCGGAGTTGAAGTCTTCCAAGCTTTTTCCAGTTAAAGCTTGATGAAGTGTTTTCAAAGGAGTGTGATATTCCTCTGGCAGTCTTGTTAAAATCTTTATTCTGATTTCAGGAGTAATTTGGCTTTTCTCATCTAGGCCTGTTAAATATTCTGTGCCGATCATATTGAACAAAGCGTTCACCAGATCAGTGCATAGAGTGTGAAGTAGATTTCGGCGTAAAAGAATTGAAATCTCATCTCCAAAATATTCAAATGCTGCCACGAACAAATTTATATTTGCTAACAATGTATTGATTTCTTCCTCATATGCTTTTCTTGATTTTTTGTTTGATGAACTGACAACTGGAGCATCACTATGTTCCTGATTACCTTTTTTATTCTTTTTCTGCGATATTGTAAACTGAAAAACAGATTTAGACATTTCTTGGAAAGTTTTGGTGAGTGGTCTGTGCAAGCGTATCGCAATGGTTTCAAGAAGTGCTTCCGGACAATGTCCTTCAACACTGTCCGTCAAAAACTGTGTCAGTTCACTGACATTCATGAACTCGATTTCAGATGAAGTTGTATGTTTTTTGATTGATTCTGCTTCACCCAAAGAAGCTTCCAATTCTCGTTGTTTCTTCAATCTTTTTTTATCTTTTCCTCTTGTCTTTACCTCCCTTCCACCTATACCAGATCCACCAGATCCTTTCTCACGTTTTTTTCTTCCACTGTCTGGCACAATGTTAGACTTTTCTACAGTCTCCTTGGCATCAGGTTGTTTTCTGCCACTCATTTGAAAAGAATACAATTCCATTTCTTCTTCTGTTAAAGCAAAAACAGTTGCATCTTTTGCAGCAATCTCAGCTCTTTCCTTGAGAATAGGATCAAAAAGTGATTTACATTTCTCTTCAAATGCAACAGATGCAAATATGGAATCGACCACCAAACCTATTTCTTTCTTATCACTTTTGTGATCTTTGAGAACATGCTGTAATAATTGTGTAGAATCTGCATCTGTGAAAGGTGAGGGAAGAATAGGTTGCACATCCACCCAACTATTGGTTGAGAGAGTCTCATCGACAGTAGCTGCGATGAGACTGACTATTGTTGATCCAACACATACAGTGTTAAGAGAAATAGTATCATTGAAGCGTCTACGAATATATGATTTTGCATCACCGATTCCCATTTTTGTCAGCATATCGTATTCAAGATATCCATTCTGCTGATAAAAATTATCAATGCATTGATTCTGCGTTTTAACATACATTTCTGGAAGAAAAGTAGACTTATCTGAACGCTTCCCCACAAAATCTCCATGAATACGATTTTCTGCAAGAAGTTCATCAATAATAGCATAAAACAGTTTTGATGACATTTTGCATTCTCCCAAAATAGGTTGGAGAGAAGTGGGTCGTGAAATTGCTGTGAGAATGCCACGTATCTTACACTTATGTCTGCTTATGAAGGCTTCTGTGAATATAGCATCCTTGTTATTTTCATCCAAACGACCATCAATAATTGTGCCAAGACGGTTGACTAATTCTGCAATGAGAAATTCACCAGGCAAATCATAACTTTTGCACAAATCCGCTATCTTCACTTGGCCAATTGATTGCAATGTATCATTTATTTCTTCCGCAATGTTGTCCAAATAAGCCTTGTCCAGAAGCTTACCCAATACAAGAAAGATGGAATTGCTGGAAGAAGCAATCTCATTCGCTTTTGATTCAATATAGGAAAAATCTATATTAAGAAGACTTTGCAACTCGACTAAGCTGACCAGTCCACCATGAATGTACAGTTCATTTTTGATTTCTTGAGTTAGCTGAGAAGGTGTCAAGTATTCTTTTCCATCCATTGTGTGAATCACATCCAGTAATTTCATTTCTTGCAACTTGAGTAATATCTCGATACAATTTCTTTCTGACAATTTTTGAACTGTCGTAGATTCCTGCGCCCTTTTCAGGTCTAACTGCAGTTGTTCAATATCTTTCCAATCAGTCATTTCGATGTACTGTTTGATTCAATGCTTATGAAGAGAGAAATAAGATTCGAAAGACAAGTTACACAAACTGTAAACAGCAAAACAGCCTACATGTTTGGAGAAACATAGAATATTTTACAACAATAAACATATTCAGAAAAAATGATCAAAGATTGAATCATTAGTAATGAATCATTCACAATCAATCATTCATCATAATGGAAACAATAGTTGTTGCGTGGAGTTGGATTGAAGCTGTGAGCTACTGGTATCAGTACTACTGTACTATGATGCCAGTCCACACTTGTATTACTGTATTATGGCAGCCCACTCTCAGACCATTGTGTTTGTTAGGCCATGTCCTGATGTCTGTAACTTCTGTAACTAAGCCGAGATTAGTATTGATTTGCAACGAACATATTAGCTTTGATCTATATATTATCAAAGCAAGAAAGTTAATACCGTAATATGAAATAACCAATTAACAGGAAATATCAAAGCCTGAAAGCAGCAGAGTTCTTCAACGTATAAATCACAGTATAACCACTGACAGATCGACCGCACATGAGAAAATTACGAGTCTAGTATGGTTTAGTACCACAAGTCTGCAAGTATTCCGGTGGACGTAGCATAAAGACTTTTGGGGTCTCATGTAGTTTCGTACCTAACGTACTTCCAGAGGGCGTGGCATAACAATTTTTTCACGTATCAATCCTAACTAACCCCACCTGACTACGCCATCCAAAAATTACGTCACAGTGACGTAATAGAGCCCTTCAAACTATACGAACTGTCACCCAAGACGCGCAGACGAGAACCCGAAATCGAACAGCTATTTCTCTCGTTTTCTCGTCGCAACGATCCCGATAGGAGAGAGATCGCTAACGTTAGTCAGTTCTTTATCGTCGGCGCCGATGCCATTTTGGGCGATCGTATTTGTTTTTGGCAAGCTCTATAACGTGATTGTGACGTCGTGGTGACGTAATTTTGGATGGCGTAGTCAAGTGGGGTTAGGATTGACATGTCAAAAAAGTGTTATGCAGTTATGCTACGCCCACTAGAAGTACGTTAGGTACGAAACTACACGAGATCCGAATTTTGTATATGTTATTCCTAACCCCCATCTGACTATGTCATCCAAAAGTTACGTCACTACGACGACACAATCACGTCATAGAGCTTGCCAATGGCATCTGCGCCGACGATACCAAACTCACTTACGCCAGCGGTCTCTCTCATATCACTGTATTAGGATCGTTTCGACGAGAAAAATAGCTTTCTCGATTTTGGGCGATTGTCTGTGTGTTTTAGACGACCATCCAACCATCCGTACACACACTTTGGAGGTAGCCTATTTATTAGGCCACTGTGGCATCGTAGTGCTGTAAGCCTGTAGTGACATAATTTTTTGGTGACATAGTCTGGTCTGGTGGGGGACGAGGGTCAGTTAGGAATGACATATTCAAAAATTGTTGGGCCAGGCCAACTAGAAGTGCATGTGGTACTAAACTATACCAGACCCAAAATTACTCACAATTTTGAAATTCATAAATTTAGAATATCAAAGTATTACGGTAATATTACATTACCCAATATTTGATTATTCAGCCGAAACAACAATAAATGATTGTAAGCATTACCGGTACCAAACTGCTGAACTGGTACAGGCCTAACAAAAAGTAGGCTACCAAGTGTGGGCTGGCATTTCACCAGCGTCCAGGCGTCCGAGAGAGATCGAGATGGCGTTCCACCATTCTGCAGATTGGTATAATATACGGTACCCGGTAGGTACGTAACTTACCGTTGTAGGTATATGGTAAGGCTATACAGATGGCATTTGCAGATTTAAACGTCCACAAACCACTGAACTATGTACAGAACGCAACGTACTATTGTAAGCTGTATTATCGGCTTTCCCTCCCCGGGATAAATATGTCAATCCTACGAGTTAGGTACCGGTACCGCGCAAAAAGAACACGCGCTCTCTAAAATAATACAACGGCAGAATAGAAAATACAGAAAGGGTGACGCAGAGTGGTTACCTTATAGAACAGTCCACAAGGTTGAGCAAATCCCTTTTTTAGTTTTTTTTAAACATTGTGAATTCACGAGTTTGTAAAAAATAATTAATGAAGACAATAATGATAAATAAATACTATAAATAATAATAACATACAAAAAACAAATATATACATCAACGAAGATTCCATTTATTTCTAGGGCTGGGAATGGGTTTGCCAACTTTGTGTTAAACTATTCCGGGACACCATATTAATGTATAGAATTTGAAAATTGATGCAACAGAAGCTTGTGAAACACGAAGCACGTCAAAAGCAACAGTGCGCGCTGCGAGTCGTGCAGCGGTATTTTCACAAACTGTAAATAATTTTATCATAATCGGAGAAACTTGTGAAATGTTGACTCTTTGACGCATAAATTCTAAAAAAATAAAACAGGGGAAATGTACAATTTGTGCTAAATAGATTTTATTATTTAACAAAAAAGACAAGAAATCAGTCTTTCTAGTAACAAGAGAGCTACGCTCAAATATATGGACACGTAGCGCCACCTAATGGCAATAATTTTGATGACGTCATAGCAAAAAAAAAGAAAGTAATAGCCTTCTGAAGAAATTTTTATCTTTAACCACTGAAAATTTCAAAGCAATTGGTCCAGTAATCAAAGCGAAAAGCGACTTTTTAAAAACGTGTCAAAGAACAAGAACAACAACATAATATTGAAACGATCGCTATGTTCACTACGTGTCCAATAATTATTGTTATTTTGCCGCTTCCAGAAGATCTTTGTTAGTTTTTATAAAGGTTATGGTAAAATTTGTAGTTTTTACTGAAATATAATAATTAATGAACTCTCGCTAAGACAAGAGCTGTCAGCGTGGCGTCCTAAAAAGGACGGCTATGCGAGCCTGAAAACTGACTGAACATTGAAATCCTGCTCTTAAGAGAGCCCCACACTAACAGTGAATTATCAACCAAAAACAAGAAAAAAAATTTTGTTACATGCTGCAACTTTATTGACTAAATTTTTAAACAAATCTCACAGGATCAAGTTTTTGATCCTCTCCAATTAAGTTGACTGCTGTATATAATGTTATCATTCATTTTGCAATTCTGCCTTTTTCACCTTCTTTTAGTGTTATGCCATCAGGAGGTCACGGTTGACGAAACATGTCTTATCCACAGATTTCAACTCACTCCCATATTTGAATGAACCATACAGATGTAATCGGTTTTATTAAAAAATATATTTGCGTGAGTTACATCCGTTTCCACTTTTAGACGAAGCCGACACACTCAAATTGGCTTTCTAATTTAGAACACCTTGGTTGTCGTTAAATTTCGGAACAACCCAACCCCCGGTCCGGGACTGTACCGGCCATTAGGGACGGTTGATATCCCTAGCTGGGAATGGTTAATCGGTTAACCGATGTTAGATAGTTAACGGTTACGATTTATTTTAACCGTTAACTGACATCTCAGGTACAAATCATCTTTATAATGTACAATTGCTTCAAAAATGATTACGTCATCGCAAATTCATCTCCCGTGGCGTTTAATTCAAAAGAATAAGGACCCAAATAATTTAAGTAACAATATTGCTGATTATGAAAATTTGACAATGATAAATTCAGAATCAATTTTCGGTCGAAATATATTGTTCACGATATTATTGCAAAATTGTATGTTCAATGCCATCCAATAAGTGCGCCGTTAATGATGCTTTTTTTATGATATCTCAAAGTAGAATTTGCACATCGAACACTGAAAATTTGTCACATAAATGACATTCCATAACGGAATCGGGTTGTACTGGAGTACTTCCAGATGTACGAAGCACGCTGCATATCTTTTGCAGCAGAACGATCACGAAACTGTCTCGATTCGTGAATAATTTAGAGCGATACCGAAATAAGATTACGCGAAATTCTTTGCAGCCATTGTGACGTAACAAGCTAAAATTATAAATTATTACGCCAAACGTCACGCCGTGGTTAACCGGTTAACGGTTAAAATGTTTTTCCTGAAATTTCCAGACCTAGGTATTTCATATGTTTATCCAGTATTTTCAAGTAGGCCTAATTCATATTGTTACACTTTCTAACTATTGTACAAAGGCTTTTTCTATTTTTATTATTCATTAAGTAAACGGAAATACACAATATGTCCTCATGCTCACCTTGTATTCAATCTCCTGCGCCAGAATTCACTGCAACTGCTTTTGATGATGAAGATTTTTCGTTCTAACCATTGCATTTTACGTTCGTTTGTCGGAGATAATTGCTTTTAGTGATAGAGATCAAGAATTCTGAATGATTCAGTTGAGGGTGTTGTTCGGATTCATCAACGGGATAACTATATTATGCCAAGGACGACGGACGCAACTAATGGCATATGGATGAGGATTTGGCAACGGAAAGAAACTGACAAATGGGAAGAAAAAGTATATTTTATGTGTAAATTGTGACTTAATTATATATTATTTATTGCACTGTTGCTTTTTTAAAGGGATTGCTAGAAGCTACTCACTTGCATGCTATATCCGCTTTTCATAAACCCTACAATCTTGAAGTGCATTTTTCATATTGTTTTTTATCAATTCATCTCACAGATGTAATAAGTCCATTATGCACCAAACCGCGTCCACAAAAAATTTACTAAATTCTAGTTTGTGCGAAGTGTTGCCTTGCTCTTCTTTTAATCGTGTTTTTATATTTTAACTTGATTTAAAAGTTATTTCCCGATGATGTATTGTGTGTGTTTATTTTATTGTGCGCTTGAACTGTAAATGGACGCGTACTTGTACGTTTTTAACGTTGTCCTAAGTTATGCTCGTCTTCTTGGTATTTCTACATTTTGTCTGTCCGTTTGTTGTTGTTTTGTTTTATGTCAGAGCGACCACGATTAGACTGATGAATTGTATTGTTGATTCAGGGTGTATTTTTCACCATAGTTATTAGTAAATATAAGTTATTTTATATATATGTTTTTTAATTCTTGATAGCAGAAAATAAAAAAGTCATAGGCTGTTGCGTTACTTGCATATTATGTCCAATTCTTTTATAAAACTGGGTTATTGTATCAATTTTTCTGTTTTTCCCCTTGCTAGAAGCAATTTTTCAATTTTGTTATTTACACTCTGATAAGTATTTTCAAAAATAATTGCAAATCTCTGAAGAAGAGTGATACTTTAATCAACTCATCTGACAGTCTGGGTGGTCGATCGCGTACGATTTTGAGGGAAACATTTTTTCAACTACGCAGCGACTGTGTTGTGATCTGAAAAGAAGGAATGTATATTATAGCTTTTAATAAATACTCTTCCAGAAAATCCACTACGGAAAGATTCTTGAACGCAGAAAAAAGTCGCGAAAGCGTTTATCTGCTGCCGAAGAAGCCGACAATAGACAACTGCGCTTTTAAGTTTAAGTGTCAACTACGTGCAGTGACTTAAATTTCATTAATCACGATCAAGACATCGGCGATCAGATGAGAGGTCACGTTAGGTTTAGGACATCGATGGAGCACCATGACCAAACAATACCAATAACATTTAACCTTACAGTAAACAACTTTCAAATGAAAACAATCATCTCATATATACTAGAACAGGCTGGTCCAAGGTTTTCGGCTCCGGGCACAAAA